TGTGTGTGTGTGTGTGTGTTACCTTCTTGAGGATGGCAGCATTCACATTCGGAAGCGGGACGGGATCATCGTCTCCTTCATCATCCATTCCCAAATCTGGGAACAGAAACCAGCATTCATCTCCATTACGTTCAGGACTATTCATGATTTTACTCACTAAAAAGCAAAAATCATTTCAGAAGCAGAAAATTAGATGCTTCACCTTCTAGCATGGTCTTGATGGTGACGGACTGTTTGGCGATCTCAACATCCACCTCAAAGATTTCCCCATCAGAGCTCTGGAGTTTTATCGTGGGCATTTTCTGAAACAAGAAAAATTCACTTATTTACCGACTTTCCTTTTAAATGGCCAATACACTTATTTTTTATTTTATTTAGTTTGAACTATTGTAAGTATTTAGTATAATAAGAATCAGGTTTATACATTCATTTAGCAACATAAACAGAAACAATATTGAAAGATCTATAACATTTACATTTTAAAATTTAAATGGATTATGTTTCATCAGATGCACACAGTAATGTGGGTTTTTTTTCTTAATCAGATCCAGGTATATTTTGAAACTTGACTGAAAAGTGTCTGAGTTCCCAGTAAGTCACTTTAAGCTCATTTTTCAAACAAAAATATTTTGCAGAACAATCTGCTGATTTTATATCTGTCCACCTGCTTTTCAAGCCTGATCAAAACAAACAGTGTCTGGGATTAAAGTGCTGAAACAAGGTGAACACACTGACATGAAAAAATGACTAAAGCAACACACAGTTCCCACAAGTCTGAACCACAAGTGCTCTGCGCCATATTGGCAAGCAAACAGTGCGATGCATAGATGAACCACGGCTTCCAGACCCACACAGAGAAAATATGTGGACGCTTCTGACTGACATGCAAGAGAAAATATTAAGAAAATGGCTGCTGACGGGATCAACAGGCGTCAGACGATGAGAAGCTGCAGCCGACCTGCTGACTAGTGAACACAGTTGATAACATGTCTGTCCAGCTAGCAGATAAAAGCTGCACTAGCTAAGATAATGTTGCTAGTTCAGCAGTAAGTACTGCAGTGAACATCACTGATATTTATCTCAGTATTTCAGAGGCAGGTGGAGAACTCAGGTAGCTGTAATGAACTTGAATTCTTTATAAGTTAGATAAGAACGAGGCGAGTTCTGACCTTGTGGCTTGTTTATGGTTGTCATAGCAACTCCAAAGCAACATGGCTGTCAGTTACAAAAGTCACAGAAGTGTGATGTCACATGAGAAAACATGCATTTAAAAATGTTTGATTTCAAATATAATTCTAAGAGAATGCTTTTTTTTTTTTTTTTTCCAGAAACAGGCTCACAGCCAAACAGCCTCCTCTGGCCCACAGCATCATACGTCTGCTGCAGCAAACCCACCTGGACAAAGCAGGCAGCACTGGGAGGATCATGTCTGTGAGGTTCATCATGTTTCTCCTGTGATTTAAGACAATGCAGCCTGATCTGATTGGTCAGAAACTGCAGAAGACAGACGGATCCATGTCTGTCTGCAGCCATCACCATCTACAATAACGCTCAAGAATTTTTCTTTTTTTTTCTTTATTTAACCAGGTAAATCCCGTTGAAATCTGAATCTCATTTTCAAGAGGGACCTGGGCAGAAGTCTGCACCACACAGCAACCTGGTTACAGAATAAAACCAGTTAATACATATTAGCACGTATAAAAAAGTAAAACAAGTTAAAAGCAGTGATACTGTTTCACAGAATCTTGAATGAGTCACAATAAAACTTAATTTTCTTTTGGGATTAATATTTGTTTTCTGCTGTTTTTACTCATAAAAGCATGATAAATGACAAACTTGAAAAAAAGTATATAAAGTGATATTTACTTCAACTGCTGAAAGTTTCATGACAATTAAAATAAAAAATCTTGCAACGTTTCAGATTTTACTTTAAGTAGCAACTAAAAGCTGAAAAGCTTCAGTCAATTAGCCAATTAAGCAGAAAACTGGCGTTAAGCTGCTGAACCTGTTCATGTCTGACAGGCTCAATCTTTTGCATCTTTTGAAAATTCCTTGATTGTTTATTCATTTGTTTCAGCTTTTAAACCCAATTGTCGTTTTTCATGCTGAAGTTTGTTTTTCGTATTGATGTTCTGCCTGATTAATAATCCAAACATGCAGCTAGCGTCACTGCTTTGCGTTGGTTAGCAAACAAGCTAACTTTAGCTAAAACTGCTAAAAGGCTCGGTGACAACGAGCCGTTTTCTATTTGCTAACAAACCTGAGAACGTGTCGTCTGTAGTGAGTGACAGTAAAACTGGACAAGAGTAAATGTGATTCCAGCTGAACTGCGGGGTTTTGTTGTCAGTTATTAGCCAACCGGTCATGCTAACGTCCATTAGCGAAACAACGGAAATGCTGAACAATTAGCCTGTTTACGAATCAACACGGGACAAATATCGGATACAGTTTCCATCTAACGCCGTAAAATGGACAAGAATTATACTGTGACTTTACATATAACATGTATAAATATTCAGATTGTGTCCCAACAGGCTAACCAGGTGCTAGTTAGCCTGGTTAGCCTGTCGGAGAGGCCTCTGGCCCACCAGACCACCAGACTGAGGCCTTTTATTAAAACAATAAGAATAAACACACAGCAGTTAGACTCACTATTTAACCACAAACACACACAACGCAGAGACACGTACCGACAATAACTGGACTGAAGTCAAGCTGTGGATTTGATCCGCAGAAAGACCCGACAAGCGTGGCGGCTGTTTGGCTGTGAGACTGAGGCTGAACCTGCTGGGGAGGAGGAAGAGGAGAGAGGAGGAAGAGGAGGAGGAAGAGGAGGAGGAAGAGGAGGTCTGTTTACCACAGGTCACAGCCATGACCTGTTTACTTTTATTTCTGTTCCATTTTGCAGACACTATATGATTTTTTCCATGCAGGGCCGGCACAAGCTTTTTTGCAGCCCAAAGCAGGTTTAATTTCGGGCCCCCCTCACCAACATGATTCATCATTACTGTGGATCTGGACTGCAACACTCGATTTAAGGCTACTTGAGTAGCTTTTCTGAAAAAAAGTACTTTTACTTTTACTTGAGTATTTTTTTTATGAAATATTTCTGCTCTGCAGTCAAATTTTATATTTTCTATCCACTGAATGAAAAACATCAACAACTCACCACTCAGACACAACCTGCAGTTTTTGTTCAAATGTTAGAAGTTTTTTATTGACGAAACTGATGTGGGAAAAATAATTGAAGCAGAGATGTTCTAACTGGAGACATTTTGGACACTAAAAAACGGCAGAAAATTGGCAGCAATCTATTCTTATGTACTTTTAAATGTCCAGCCCTATCAATATGACAAAAACATAAAAGTACATTTTGTAACTTGGCACTATTTGCATTTATTTGTTTATTTTACAAGATATCAACAAATGATTCTTTTCTTCTTTTTTTACTGATATTAATCAATCTGAAAAAACAAGTCGATTTAATAAATGTCTAACAACGCTATGAGTTAGAAAATTAGATTTTATGCATATCCATCCATCCATCTTCTGCCGCTTATCCGGGTCGGGTCGCGGGGGTAGCAGCTTCAGAAAGGAGGCCCAGACTTCCCTCTCCCAGCCACTTCCTCCAGCTCCTCCGGGGGAATCCCGAGGCGTTCCCAGGCCAGCCGACAGACGTAGTCCCTCCAGCGTGTCCTGGGTCTCCTCCTGGTGGGACGTGTCCGAAACACCTCACCAGGGAGCCGTCCATCCTGACCAGATGCCCGAGCCACCTCAACCTCTTTTATGCATATAAGAAAATAAATGCTTGACAGTGGTAATTGTATTCAAAAATCATCAGATGATGACACTTCCCACATACTTTTGGAGTCTCCAGGTATTTCTTTATTTCTATTGAGTCAGGATTGCATGATTTCCCTTTTCAGGAAACGTTTCTGCGTTGTGTGTGAAGCAGATTGGAGCCAGAAAGTCCTGCAGTTTCTGGAGTTGCTCAGCAGCAACTCTGACCAGTTTTTCTCGTCTTTTTTCACCATGTTGGAGGAAATCCAGTTCTTGGTTGTGTCACTACAACATTCTCACCCTGAAGACATTCTGTACAATTTAATGTGCAAACGTTTTCTGATTTGCGTATCTGTGTAACGTTGTGAGTTTGGCTGTAAAGTACCTTCAGTTGTCTGACTGGAAAAACATTATTGAACTTTATTCCATTTACTTTTGCAACTTATTGAAACATTTCATTTTCCTCCAAGTTTGTGTCACAATAAAAGTGTAAGATTATTCAGTTTTATTCGCTTTCACTAATTTAAGTCAGAATATTAGCATTTTGGTACAATGGTGTATGAAGGCCATTGTAAATGGAGAAGAAAGTACATTTCCATCAAGGAACTCAAATTGTCTTGAAAAAATAGGGCATTTCTGAACAGGAGTAGAAAATTTGCAAGGAAAAAACTCAGGAATTTCCTAAAAAAAAAATTCTCCGAGTTCATAAAGTTTGAAATTTTAGAATCTTAAAAACTTTACACGTTTTTCTAGAAAATGTGGGATATTAAAATTTCTGAATTTTGTTTTTGCAAAGTTTTAACTTGGAGTTTGTAAATTTACAAGTTTTCTCAAGAAAATTTCTGAGATTAATCTCAAAAATTTTTGGTGGCAATAAACTTTTGCCATGTCCAATGACCCTGATGCTCCTGAGGGCCTGTGGTGTTACACCTCGGAGAACCACTGGGCGGCGCTAAACGACAAGCCCTTCTAAACAAACGTCTGAAATGATGCATTTTTACAGAAATAAACATTTCCAAACACTTTTCCTTGAGCCAAGCCGTTACGTTTGATTCACTGACATCTTAAAAAAACAAGTCAGACACCCAGAAACATTTTATTATTCTAACTGCTTTGTTAAAATGCAGAGCTGGAAGGGAGTCGGTGAGTTGATGAGGATTTTTTATAAGTTACAGGAGAAAACTGTACTTTGTGTAAAGCTCTAGATTTTTATTTTTACAAAAGAAAAAACAAAACAAAAAAAAAACAGGAAGGGAAAAAAATCATAATTTATAATCTGTATTTTTTAGACATATTATACAAATGTGATAAATGTATTTAAATGTACAAAAGTGCAAACATGTTGATCTGCAGAACTGAAGCTGATGGACTTCAGCAGCTGCAGCTGCACAGAATGAGGAGTTTCATGGTTTCCAGCATCGCAGCGTTATGCCATGCCGCGATGTTTTCCCAGTTTTCTGTTCCTCATTCGTATCGATATCGCTTCCGAGTCACAGAGCCTGGACTCGCTAGGAGAGGTCAAAGTTCACAGGAAGTAGTCTGGGGTGCGGCGGGTTACGTGTGGCTCTCCTCTTCGAGGCGCCGGATCAAACTGCAAGCTGGACGACAAGAAAGGTTGAAATTATAAATCTGAGCAAAATATAACTTAAACAACAATTAAACAGGGGTCTCCAAACTGCGGTTCAGGGGCCATTTAGTCTATGGATGGGGACAGGCCTCCATGAAGGCAGAAGATCTGAGAGCAACACAGAACATCTTTACTCTAGATGAGTTACCAGAGGCAGGAAGAGCAGCCAAAAAATCACTCAAGTAAGAGTTCAGATGCTTCATCATAAAAATACTCATGTAAAAAGTACATTTTCTGAAAAAACAATTGAACTGTAACTAGTTGCTACACGTCTGTTATAAACCTGAGCCGGAATCGGGTCGACCGGTGCCTCAGGTGGGAAAACGCAGTGGCTCTCACCTGAGAGTCGACTAACGCGAGCGGCAGGTAGTCGAACAGGTCAGTGAAGTACTTCCACACGTTGGCGTTCCCGTATTTCCTTAAGCACTCATCGTAGAAACCGTAGACCTGAGTGATCTGTCTGCTCTCGTGGTTTCCCCTCAGGATGGTTATTCGCTCCCGGAAACGAACCTGAGACGCCAAGAGGAAGAAATATCCTTTAGACAACAATGTTTCTCCACAATCCACAGGAGAAGCCTCCAGTGAGTGACCACCTTAAGAGCTATGAGCAGGGAGATGGTTTCTACGGAGTAGTATCCTCTGTCCACGTAGTCGCCCATGAACAGGTAGTTGGTGTCGGGGAACTTCCCTCCGGTCCTGAACAGCTCCATCAGGTCGTGGAGCTGGCCGTGAACGTCGCCGCACACGGTCACTGGGCAGCGCACCTCCTGCACGTGGGACTCTTCGGTCAGAATCTCCTTCGCCTGCAGGAGGAAAATCAGTCACTTTAAACATTAACAACAGGGAGTCCAACATGTGGCCCCGGGGCCTTTTGTGGCCCTTGGGCAGATTCTGTGCAGCCCTGAAGTATAAAACAAAGACTTTTTATTTCATTTAAGGTGAAATTATTACCAACATAACTTTCTCCCATAAAAATGTTCATTACAACACAAATATGGATCTTTTCATGATTAATAGAACAGCGTTTATCCACAGACTTTTACTGAAAAGCCGATTTTGCTGAACCCAAATCAGATTTAACTTAATGAAACTTTTGGAAAGGAAATGATCAACATCCTGTTTTAATAGCCGAGAATAAATTTCCTCAATGGAGACCAAAGGAAACTGGAAACTAGATTTCTTTATTTTCATTCCATAAACATATAAAAACCTTTCTGAGCTTCGGATCCAGGATGAATAAAATCCATTTTGAACAAAAAAATAAACAAACAACTTTAGTTGCTTGACTGTAGTCTTTTTACTTATTTATTTTTATGGCCCTCAAATTTAATGTGATGATTTTACCTAATGTGACAGTTTTAACTTCACCTGCTGGAATCCAGTGAAATCCTTGAAACAGAAATTAGTCAACAAATGATGGAGCGATAACTAAAGGACAGCTCTGTATTTTATTCTCTTATTCCAAAACTATTTGAATTTTTTGCATTTTTAATGCATTTCTAAAATGTATAGAAAAGTCTAAAGTATTTCTGCAGAATGTGTCCATTAAAAACAGAGAAATCTAATTCGTTGATGGAACAATAAATTATTTTCAGGCCGTTGCTGATATTGGTAATTTATTCCTGCTGCAGTGATGACTCAGCTGCAGCCGCCGCCTCACAGAGCCAGACAGAAAATAAAATCATTCATGCTTTAAATACACACAACCTCCTTAAAGCTTTACATTTAATTGGGTTACCAGGACAACGTTTCCAATTTATAGAAAAATAAAGGTGATTATTTTTATTAGAAATTAAAGCAAGCTAAATAATTTACATTTGCATGAATTATTGTTTCCCTCTTTTGGATGATAAAAGTTTAATGTTCATCAGACTTTAATTAGTTTATTGATATTTGAGAATTTGTTCTTGCGTTATTACTAAGCCATTATTTCCACTGTATTAATAATTGTCTCAAAACAACAATATTATCACTTAGTACAATAAAATTAGTTATGACCAGCGGTTCCACAAGCACCATGAGTACTGAAACAACTCGGGCGTTTGGGTCACCGCTCATGTCCGATTCGCTCAAACAAACGTCTCCATTGGTTCCTCGAAAGTAATTGTTTTGTTGGATGTTTCTCATGGATCCGGCTGGAGACGCAAAGCTTTCCCTGGCCTGCAGCCGGCGGACGGGTCCGGACGGGTCAGGACGGGTCCGGAGGGGGTCAGGACGGGTCCGGACGGTTCAGGACGGGTCCGGACGGGTCAGGACGGGTCCAGATGGGGTCCGGACGGTCAGCAGGCCTGCAGCGCTGCACAACCCTGACCTACATTGTACGCACACGCTCACATCAGTCTGTGAGAATATTGTAGAGTGGAGCAGCGATGAGTGAAGCTGATTAAAGAGTGGGTCACGTCGATGTGTCTCAGGAACTGATCTATTTTCCTCCAGTTTCTAACAAAGTTAAACAATGAAATGAAAAAACAGCCATGAAGCAGAAACAACTATTTATTATCTTAATCAATTTTTATATTCTGATGATTAACTGGATTAAAAATATATATTTTTAATTTGACCTCTTGAGGCTGTTTATACATTACAAATGAATAAAAATAAGCAAATAAACAATTCCATTTCAAACAAACATTTTATTGCCTAAAATGCAGCAGCAGCCATTTTGTTATTTTAAAATGATGGTTATATGGACTATAATCATATAAAATACCAACATTTCAACATAACTTTACATTCTGGTTCATTATGTTTAAATATTAAATTATGTTTTGATCAGTTCAGTTTAATTGGGTCGCCTCCTCGCCTCCGGTGGTCGCTTATCAACAAGCTGCTAAGTAACAGCAGCAGTTTGGCAGCGTTAAGATATTTGAAACAATAAAATCAGTAATTATTGATCGGCTGATATCAAACTCTTACTGTTCAAAAGACCCCTTAAATAATCTAAGTTTGTTAACTACTACTGTTCGTAGTGATTTCTGTTCAGCGTTACTTTTGCCACTTAGGGCATACCGTAGTTGGGGCGGTGATGACGTCATCACATCGCCGTAAGAAAGAAAACCGTTCCTGATATCAGAGGGGGAGGTGGGGTAACAGAGCCACTGCTAATACGTGAGAGGGGCAGAATATGTGTGATCGCCTTATAAGTGTGCGTTAGTGACAAGAGACCACACACACACCTACACACATACCTGAAGCACTCACCCACACCCACCAAATACACCTTGATGCAAATTACTGTTGTTGGACTAAGATCTGTGACCCGACTTGGAATACAGAAAGTAAAAGGTTTCCTGCCTCATGTCTTCCTTCTTCCACCTGCTGCACCACATCTGGTCCTGAACTGAATCCAGTCCAAGTAGTGTTCTGACCGACACTCCAGGTTGAGAGCAGTGACAAACCTGAACAGAGCCTTCAAACCGTCCTGCAAATTAAGAGCAGCCTCAGCTACACTTACATTGTGAAATGTTTCTCAGTTCACATCACATCCTCCATCAGATTTAATTTATTAATGATATAACCTGCAAATTCAATAATAATCTGCTAAAAAACCTGAAGGAGATTACTCTGATCAAATATTACATAAACCTGAACAGTGTGACCTTTAACCCTCAGTCTGATCCACTGAGGAAATGTTGCAGAACAAACCACAGACAAATGTTACATAAGACTCAGTAAACGTTCACACCACACCTGTCCAGGTCAGACGCCTCAGAAACAGTCAGCAACTTCCCGGCTGCCGCCGTGTAATCCCATTAAACCAGTTAAACCAGTTAAACCAGTTAAACCAGTTAAACCCAGCTCAGGCTCTCCGGCCAATTAACAGCCATAACGAGGCAAACACAAAGGATGACTTGGTTGCACGCTGCTTTCGTCACGCTTACATCGTTTCCTTTCTCATAAATTCATTCATTTCTAACAAAGTGGAAAACAAGCCTCTGACTGAACATGAACACACGTCATGAGGTGAGGCGACCATCACCTCATTACATCATCATGTGACATCATCATGTGACATCATCATGTGACATCACCTGTTGCAATGTCATATGTCAACAATACTAAAAATTCCTCACACCCCATTACAACAAAACTCATGTACTTTATGTAACTGAAATTATTATATAACTGAACTGGAAGGAAAATGGTTTCTGAATGTGTTCCAAATACAAATCTGAAAAGTGTGGAAGGCATATTCTGACCTCACAGGTCTGTCACCATAACAAACTTTTGCTGGTTTCTAAATTGTCCAAGAAGTTATTTCATTAAGTAATATTGTTATTTTATACAAAATAAATAAAACAACAGAAACAAACTAATTAGGAATTTTAGACATTTTCTTTCAAGAAGTTAGTTAAAGATTTTATTATTAAAGTTTTTGGTTGCAGGACAGAAAAGGGAAACGATAAATCATACCGACAGGAATTGTCAAGCTAATTTTTACTCATAAAAATGAACTCATTGATTGTTTATTACAGCTTTAGATATTTCCAAGTATGTGAAAGCCTGAACAAAGGTCGTGTTTTCATGCCATCTGAACGTGGGAATCAGTTTGACTGTCATATTTAACCCTGGTGTGATCAGAAACATTCACTCTCCTGTGGATTTACATTTGGTCGCTGATATTTGGAGAATCATAAAGAACAGAAACAGATTTTCTAAAAACAAGATGATTCATTTCAAGACTGAAAACTACAAACTATGAAACTTCAATTTGAACAGAAAACAGACAAAGACGATGAAGATCCTTTATTACTTCTCACTAACAAAGACAATCTGATTTCCAGCAAGCAGAGGATTGTCTTCTTTTAAATTACATTAAAGGTAATTAAATAACAAATATTTGGTTTCCCTTCCTACATCTTGACAAACTCTAACATGTAAATTTAATTTTCCTTTTCTTTTTGTGCAGACAGAGTGAGTCCTGGGGTTGCTTTTTTTCTGGGGGGGTAGAAGGAAGGATTGCATTGGATGTTCATTTTTATCTATTTTGTTTCTTTTTTTGTCAGTAATGTCTGTGAAGCAGAAAATTCTAATAAAACTATTTGGAGAAAAAAAACAAAGTAATTAAATAACAAACCAGAACTCCCAGTTCTGTAACTAAAAACTGTTTCTGACGCTGCAGGCAGAAAACTCTGGAACGACTGGAAGAACGACGACGACGCTTCAGCATTCCTTCCCAACGGCAACCGAAGGAAACTCAGAGAGCTGGAATGCACACACACACACACACACACACACACACACACACACACACACACACACACACACACACACACACACTGAGTCACAGCGAACCATGCTGTCCTCACTCACACCCTCTGCCCTCTGAGCAACAGAAACTCCTCGCCGCTGCAAAGAACAATCAATTCTGTCCTCTGCTATTTTGGAAGCAGGAGGAAACAGGAGGAAGTTGGAGGAAGGAGGAGGAAACAGGAGGAAGTTGGAGGAAGGAGGAGGAAACAGGAGCAAGGAGGAGGAAGTTGGAGGAAGGAGGAGGAAACAGGAGGAAGTTGGAGGAAGGAGGAGGAAACAGGAGGAAGCAGGAGGAAGTTGGAGGAAGGAGGGAGGAAGCAGGAGGAAGTTGGAGGAAGGAGGAGGAGGAGGAGGAGGAGGAAACAGGAGGAAGCAGGAGGAAACAGGAGGAAACAGGAGCAAGGAGGAGGAAGCAGGAGGAAACAGGAAGAAGCTGGAGGAAGCAGGAAGAAGCTGGAGGAAGGAGGAGGAAAGTGGAGGAAGGAGGAAGAAGGAGGAGGAAGCAGAAGGAAGGAGGAGGAAGCAGAAGGAAGCTGGAAAAAGCAGGAGGAAACAGGAAGAAGCCGGAGGAAGCTGGAGGAAACTGTGTGGCACATTGAGCTGAGAATATCAACAGTACCATGGATGGAGGGAGGAACATTTTCATCCCTCCATAAAGGGAGGGAGCTTTTTTCTGAAAATAATACAGGCAATAATTCATCTGACAGCCAAAGACAGTTAATGAGCTGTTAAGAAAGAATTGCTTCACTCTTAGGATCAGGTCTGTCATGCTAACAAATATCGTCAGACAATAAGTCGCCCCAGAATTTATTGCAATAAATGATGAAATTGCTGTTTTGCAATCTTTTTTCAGGAATATAATGGTCATCATGGCATAATAAAGGAACCAATTCTCAAAGATCAATAAACTTGTAAATGTAAATGACTGAGATTGTTTTAATTTATCATGAGATTAATTGATTTATTGCTTATTGTTATGACAGTAGAATACGACGTCTGAGCTGAAGCAGAAAATAAATGAATGACATCACTGACATTTAACCTTCAGCACTCATCAGACCAAACATGGCAACGAGTTACTTCCTGTTTCCTGAAGGAAACGGATCTAATGGAAGAGAATTAAAGGAGGAAAATCCTGAAAAATCTGAATCTTCTCTCATTGAAAGCATCAAAACAAAAAGTTTCCATTATTTCCATTGCAGCAGCTTTAATGCATGTTTGAGGAGGGCAGAGTATCCAATATTAATCAAGAGTATAAATACTTTCAGATAAATTCAGGAAAAATAAAATGTTTCCAGATCCGTTTATTTCAATAAAACCTTCAGAAACTTTAACAGAAACTGCAGGCGTTTGATTCTGGGGAATAAACATGTTTTTTTATTCAGAAATCCAGAAATTTACTCAAGTAAAAGAAAAGATACTTGTGCAACCAGTTTACAGCAACCAGCAGCAACACAACAACTCCCTCCTTATACACCTGCCCTGTCACTTCTTCATCATAAAAACTGATTATATTTTAGGATTTAATAGAATAAAAGAAATATCCATTTACAAAACGTTTTGGTTGAACACTTGAAGAAAACAGCACTAAAAAAGTTTGAGATTCTGAGAGAAATAAAAAAACAACTGGAAAAACACAACTACACTGCAAAAATACACAATCTTACCAAGTAATTTTGGTTTAGTTTATGTTGTAAATATTGTAGTCCACTTAAAATATGACAAAACAAACTTACAAGACACTTTTAAGTCAAACTTCCTTAATTTGGTGGAAAACATTATAATACATTTTTATCAGAGAAATGATCTTTTATAAACATTAAGTAATTATTCACTTAAAACAATTTCCTAAATTTTGCTCATGGGAAACTTTAAGTTAGTTTTTCTTAGTGTAAGTGTACCAAGATATTTGAACTTGAACTAGACCAAAACACTTGGTGAGATTGTGAGATTTTAGCAGCCGCTGCTTCATCTGAATGTGAAGATCCTTGAACTCGCAGTGGCCTAGTTAAAGTTAATTGTCCACATTAAGTCGCAGTCGTTGTTTTCAATGTGTTTAATTGGCTGAACGGTTTCAGGCTCCAATGACCGAATGAACAAGACGCGCTGAAATCCGTCCTATAGGCGCCATTTTAAATGTCTGGGAGCAGAGAGAGCAGGCGAGATGCTGCTCGTCAGTGTGCGGTTTGACGCGCTTTACCTTTTCGCACAGGGTCTTCACCTGACCCTCGGACAGCTGCTTGCACTCGCCCAGCTGCTCGATCCACTGGTCGACCTCCTGAGTGAACGCCTTTTCGTCCATTTCTGTTTCGTCTTCTGACGGCAGCGGTTGCTTCAGGGAAGCGCGGCGGTCAGGAAAGCGGCTGGTTTCTGTCGCAGCTCCACTGCTGGGTCCAGTCAGTCCAGAACCTCGAACCTTCAACGGCCAGTCGCTGTGATTCACTGCGCCGAGGCTGAGCAGCGGAAAAGGCGTCAACTGGAGAACAACGACGTCTGTAAAGGTGGCCGTCACTACGCAGCCATTTCCGGAAGGTAAATGGCTGCGTCCATCTATACCATTTTAGAGTGAGACACTATTTAAACAGACGCAAATCTTGCATTTATCGTTTTACTCCTATCACTTTGAAGCAGTGGTGGAGCTAGACTTTTTTCCAAGGGGGGCCAAAGGGTGAGCAAGGCTTTATCAGAGGGTCCATATACAAATGGATCGTTCCATGGAACGAAAGGAAAAAATATGTTTCCGTTCGTTCAAAATTAATTAATATAACTAGTTAGGTTATAATTCAAAGCTTTCATTTGACATAGCCTACTTACACTTCAGTCATTATAAAACTTAATGGTTTTTCACATATTCTTACCAAACATTTCAAGCAAGAGCTGGGAGATATAAAACATTAGAGGGCAGCATGTCACTAAAACATGTTAAAAGAATCTGTCTAAACACGATCTACCAGCACTAGCATGGCTAATATAATAAACGAGGCACTACGCAGCGGTGCACAATCTTTTTTTGTTTCTTTTTAGAAATGTATGACAAGAGCCGCCTCTCATTAGGAAGGTAACAGCGGTTACTGCTGAGCGGTAAAATGTTGGAAATACCTGCAAAACTCCTGGACGGTGTAACTCTAAGCCTCAGATGTGTTTTGGATCAAGCAGGAACCAACATGTCAGTTTAACCAATGAACAGCGTCGGGCATCGGGCTGCCTTCAGGGACAGTCTGAAATTACAGTTTTCCTGGCAAATCTTTGCCGATCTCATAAGTATTATATTTTAAAATTACAATTTCCAGTGGGGTGGCACTAGGGGTGACAAGGGCTCTGTTGGGGGTGGCAAGTGCCACCCCATCCATCCATCCATCCATCCATCCATCCATCCATCCATCCATCCATCCATCCATCCATCCATCCCTCCCTAGGAGTCTCCAGGGACATGAAGTTCCTCCAGGTCAGTTCCTGTCTGCTGTGACGTTACTTCCTGTTGTACCCAGCTTACCTCAGGATGGCTGAAGCTCATTAATGCATCGTCAAATATGCAAATAAAATCTCTGCTCCGTACTACTTCCGGTCTGCCATGACCTGATTGGTTCAGCTTGACTCAGCGGCTGACAGGAATAAAGGCTGGGTGTGATGACAGCAGCTCTGTGATTGGCTCCCAGTTTAAGGGAGTTTCTATCGTCGCTTCCTGGAACTTTGCCAATGATGCGAATTTTATATGTATGAATGACGTCACTCTCAGCGTTAGAGCGAGTAAACAGAGCAGAAGCCGTCCGTGACCTTAACTCCGTTAGAAACACATGGAAGCAGCTCATAGCAGCAGTAATCTGATGGGTTTCATGTTATTGGACAATGAATGAGGAGGAGCATGTGAGGTCACTTCCATTTCATCAAACCAAACTGTTGCGTCATGCTGGAGACTGCGTGACTTGGGGAGGTACCAATTAGCACATTAATTAAACACAATGAGGCCTTCACTCATAAATAACCTCTGACCTCTAACTCTCTGATGGAGAGTTTAACTGAGCTTTATACATTTTGACTGAAATTTATACCAGTTTCTTTTTACAAAATGATCACGTTTGATCAGATTTAGTGAAGAACGAAAGACTTTTTTAAGCCTTTCACAGATTTCCAGTTGGATTTTGATCTGGCCTTTACATGCATTTGAATTCATTTAAACATTTGCTGAATGTTTAGTGTTTGACCTGCTGGAAGGTCAAACAAAACCTCAGTCTGAACTGAGAAGATGTTTAATAGATTCGGTCTTCCTACTATTTACCATTCAGTCGTTTAAAAGGGTCATAAAAGTGCTTTGAAGAATTAATGTTACTGCTTCATTTTCTTCCCATTCACCCTTTTCTGCAGCAGAAAGCCATAAAATGAAGCACATTGCTTTTAATTTGTTGCTCTTGGTTATGATGAAATCATATAACTGCTTTCTGCTTTGCAAAGAAAGGAGACAAGCCACAGTGTTGAAATGATTTGAAGCAGACTTTATCATCTGGGGTCATTCTCGCTTCAGTTTTATTCTGTCTAAATTAACAGGTAAATAATACTACATGGATATTCATGCGTTTCCAGGACATTTCCATGTTTCTTCATGGAGCGACAGGCATCTTCTGCTTCCTTGTGTTTCACATTAACAATTTATTAAACACTTTGTGAATAGCCTTGTGGGTGTAGCTCATTTTTCAGAGTGCTCTGCTGGTAGTTTATCACTTCTGGGACAGAGAGACAGATAAAACAGAAAGAGAACTGGCCCTGGTTCTTCTGAATGAACATTGTGTTTCTCTGTGAAGCTGTTCCTCTTTCCTGCAGGCATCCATTGATACAGAAATTGCTGGCATTAATAATTTCCCATAAAAAGTGATCTTGGCTCAGGATTAAACCAGCCATTTTTGGCTCGTTTTTTGTAAAAATCCAGTTTGTTTGTGAATATGCATTCAAACTCTGATATGACCCAAAACAGCAAACTTTGTTTAAAGATTTCTGTCTGGGTTCGGTTGAAGTGAACTCTGGTTCAGTTTGAATGCACATGTGATCGCCAACCGGAGACCGCTCCAAAAGCAGGAAGTGGACAACAATGCAAGGCATTCTGGGTAAATACAACCAAAACAAACTCCAGAGTCTAATGCTAAAGACTCTGGAGGAGAAATGACATGAAATGCTCCAGCCACTAAAATCTGACTCCTCCATTTTTGTCTCCATTTGGTGAAATGAATTTAAAGTCTGAAACTGATGAACTTTGCGTCTGGAAGTTGTTCCCAAAAATGGATCAGAACCGTAATTCTCCCCCGTGATATCTGATTCTTTTGTGTTTGAGGTGTTGTCTTCTGTAGGCGTGTTTCTACATAAAACAACAATGTCTTCAGTCAGAAGATTCTTCAGTACTGCTGTAACACAGACTGCTACAGGAGATCCTTCCTGACCACAGTCATCAGGATCTAAACAACTCTTTCAAAAAACTTCAATAAAATGAGAAACCACAACAATTCATTGCTGTCTAATTTTTATTTGAAATGAATAGAATTGTTATTCAGCAGGGAATTGATTTATTGTCAAACAGAGAGGAAAAATAAATTATGACATAATTAAAAAGTCATCATTGTTATGGTTTAGCATGGTGTGTGATAGAGTTTCATGAAAGCCAGTTTTAGGATATAAAAGGAATGACCTGTTGGTCATTGTTACACAAGAGAGCAGGAGACATGCCCATGTAATGTAACACAGAAGCTTAAGCCAAAGTAACCTGAACTGCATGGATTATTCTAGTATTAACGCTGCCATTCAGACTCGTTAGCATCAACCTCAGAGTTTGTGCTACAGACTGGGTCTAAAATCTGAGCACCTGCTGCAGCCAGCGGGTTCTGGACTGAAGCCCGTTTGATTCCAGGAAAACAGACGCAGGTCGCATGTTTTTGCTGGAGCCGGATGAAAGGCCTTGTAAACAACACTGTCATTAAAACGACAGGATGATGATGATGATGATGATGATGATGATGAATGGGTCGTTATGGAAAGTTGGATGGAGATGCTGGGAGCTGGTGTCCGAGGGGAGGCGGAGAACAAAACCCTCCCTGATGAGTCGCCATGTTTCTCCAAAAATACCAGGCGGGATTGTAAAACATCTGTGAAACATGACATCGTCTGGTGCATTGTGAAGACCTGATGTTGCCCAACTTCATGAGAACTGACAGATATTTGTCCTCTCCCTGTATAATGTTACAAAAATGCAAAAAATTTATCCAAACTTTCTGCATATGAGGAAAAAGAAGATCTGCAGCTAATTCGTCTTTTTCCACATGGAGTCACTTTTTCAGGTCGATTTTCACAGGTAGAAAAAACATCTGAAGTTACTCCCTTCTCTCTCTACCAATCAGAATCCAGTATTTTACCCAGAAACCCTGAAACCATGACAACAGGATCATCCTGAATGTCTGGCGCCCTCTGCTGTTTGAAAAGAGGAAGTCCATTTTAAAACTAAAACACATTTCTGTTTATAAAATACTGTAGAAAACATTAGAATGTGTTGGGTGAACATCTTCCTCTCACTATAATAACAAATCAAACATTTTTAGCTCTAGTTTGTTAAATTGAGAGAAGAACAGAAATGGAGAAATAAACTGACTTGCAGAGACAAAGAAAACTGGAAGAATTGCACCTGCTGATGCAATTCAGCAATTTTTAGCCACTTCTATTCTTTACGAAAGCATTATGTGATTTCAGCAAATCATATAATGAGGATGCTTCATCCCTGGTGTCTTCAGAAATCCTACCACCACATATTTTAGTGATGAGTCAGACAAACCATGCAGCCCGTTTCACAAGGAAAACAATGAAGAGGCAACGCCTTGCTGGATGTGAGATAATAACTTTAATAAGTTTCACACAACTCCTATGGTTTTCATTCACTAAATATGCAGCTCTTCACAAAAATGCTCGTAACCATTTTAATATTTCAATGTTTTTTATTTTTTGTCACTGAGATTTTAAGTTCTAGAAAATTGTAAAGTGGAAAGAATACAATATGAGGATGAGAAGTGAAAATTACCTTCATATTTAGCTCCCTTTGCTTTAACGTAAAAAAAAATCCAGTGTAACCATTATTAATAAACAGATCACACCTAAAAATAGTTTAAATATGGAACAGCTCATAACTGTCACAATTCTGCAGTGTTTGGGCTGCATCTGTGTATTTGAAAGATAAATTCCTCATTTTCACCCCTTTGAATTTAGGTTTTTAATTTGTTCTGGTATTTCTGAGAATGGAGTTTCAGATCAGACCATGTCAGTCTTCTTGACAGCAGCTGCCAATGTGATTGGTCTGACATGGATACAGAATCTGTTCCTGTTTAACACAAGTTTGAGCATTAAATACGTCAAGTGTTCAGATTTACATCTCTTGAGCTTTAAACTGACCAATGAACAGTTCAGCTCCTGACTGAAAAT